TGAAAGAAAACAAACAATATTTCTTAGCTTACGTTCGAGAAGTAAAAACGCAAAAACACGTCTACTGGTATATAAAAATTGCCATTTTGTAATATTAGTTTCAAACGTTTTGAGCGATATTTGACAGGTGTATGACGTCATCGATAATTTTTTAAATAGCACCTCCTACCTTTTTTTAGCATAAAGTCCCTTGAAAGAGAATTTTTGATATGCGGTTTAACCTAATGTACTGTTATAAGAAATGAAAAAAGCCAAATGTGTGTTTTAAAATAAATTAATAAAATCGTTGTCAGAAACCGTTGAGATCTTTACTCGCAATACACACAACAAAAAAATGCTTGTTCATATATATAATTCCGACCATAATTCTTTCTCTTATTTTTAAATTCCTGTTTCCATAAAAATTTGTACGTGTTGGGCATATTCTGTAAGTAGGTAGAAAAGTAAAATTAAATTTCCAAGAATATTTTATTGTAGGTACGAAGGTACGTTATTGTGAGTATTTCTTAGTAATCTTGGAATTTTTCAACCCAAAATCTTAGAAATTTAGGTAGGTACATACCAACATACCTAGTTACCTCTCGGAATGTATTTTGAATGAAGCAAATTGGTCGACAGTTATTTCGACAGAACTTCTCTCGCCTCTGAAATACAACAAAACAAACCTAGCTTTTTCGAAAAATTATAAAATTTGAATATGCGAATGTTATTTTTTTTATGCGAACCCGGATACGTTAAAATTTTTTCCAAAAATTCTAGATGTCTAGGGTGAAAATTCTGGACGGATTTACACACCACAAGTGCAGGAGTATCTAATTTTATCAAATTTAAAAAACTTTGTATTATAAATTTTGGAGATGACGTCATCCCATTGGTGGTGGAGATGATTTGCCAAATTTTAGTTAGCGTTTAACCATCTACATGAAATTTCTAATATACATATAAAATATGGCAATAATCGATCCAGTAGTTTCGGAGAACACTTGTCTAATAAAAAATGGATACAGACACCAGACAGACAGATAGACATACAGACAGACAGACAGACAGACAGACAGACGGACATACGGAAACGGGAGACCACTTTTTTCGTACTCTAGAGGTCATAACACGTCGAGAAATTGGTACTGGACGTAGAATTGTTGACATAGGCCACTTATTAACAACACTGAAATCAATCAGTACTTTAGACAATATTGAAATAACTCACGAAAATTGTTATCGTTTAAAAATTGTTTTCTACTACAAATTTCATATGTACGGAATATTCGGTAATCTTTGTACTGAACCTGAAAATCATATATACAAAGTCAATTATGCAGCTATTTGTGGAGCTAGATCAACGGTCGTAGGTTATTCTCAAATTTCAGAATTTTGTTCAGCTCTAGATATCCCTCAAATACCCCAGGCGACATATCGTAAAGCCGGGGCTAGAGTTCTAAAGAGCATCGAAGCACTTTTCGAAGAACAAACCAAAACACAGGTAATGAAGAGTACCGATTAGCTGTGAAGGCGAGGGAGGTAGATAATGATTGCGTCCCATATATTACCGTTATTGCCGATGGAGCTTGGAACAAATGCTCTTACAAATCCAATGCACTGTCTGGGGTAGGACGCATAATTGCTGCCAGAACTAAAAAAATACTTTATGTTGGAGTCAAAAACAAACTTTGTAGTTTCTGTAAAACCTGTATGAAACAGAAAAAAGAAATTCCAACACATAACTGTTTTAAAAACTGGGAGCAAACATCTATGTCCATGGAAGATTCAATTATCTTAGAGGGATTTACTTTAGTAACTTTATAGGAGAATTATAGGCGACGAGGATAGTAGCGTATTAAAAAAAGTTCGGGCTGCAAAACCATATGGTGCATATTATTTTATAGAAAAAATTGAATGTAGAAATCACATACTTGGTAATTATTGTTCCAAAATTAGAGAAATAGTTAAAACAACGAAAGCAGATATCACTATTAAAAATTTTTTAAAAATACAGTAGACGCCGCTTAATATGATCACGGTTAATGTTATCAACCGGTTAGTGTGATCAAAATAGCTTGGAACGGGCCCACGCAATACCAATGCATTACAGTTTTGCCGTTTATTGTGATCAATATTTCGCTTATTTTATACAAGCGGAAATTGCTTTTTTTGGAGAAGCGAGACGACTGAAACTAGCATTGTGTTTTAATGAACATTCATTGGTCGCAAAAGGTATTTAGGCTTATAGTACTCACTTTGTACAGCCACAATCAGTGATAGACTTTAGTAATCAGTGCGTTTTCGTCTTTTGAATGAACGAATTTTTTCTATTTTAAATTTGAGTGGTACTTATGTAAAAATGAGCACGTCAAAACGACTAGATCTCAGCTTACTAGAAAAAAAATCTCAGCCCTTTCTCAACAAACTTCTAAAATAACCAAAGGAAATCAAGAGTTCCCTTCTCAGAATGATAACCAACATAAAAATAAATTTTAATCTATCAGCATAATGAACACTGTCTTGTTCATTATTTTGGTTTGTTTCAAGTTTTACTGTCTCTGATGGTGGTTTTCGCTTATTGTTATCAGTTATCAGCAAAAATGAGCCTCTTCCTTCTTTTCCAGCATATATTTGGCAATCACGAACAATGTGCAAGTTATTTTTATTATAAAAGTGGACAGTCAAATGATATTTTAATTTCTACTTTCGCAAATGGTATTTTATACGAACCTTACAAACAAGTTTTAAATAGAATTGCAACTTTGTCGTCTAGTTTACTTTTTGATATTGAGAACAATGCTGTGGAATGCTACAATTCTGTCGTTAATAAATTTGTGGGAGGAAAAAGAATAAGTTTTTAAGTTTTTCTGCACGAGGATCGTATCAAGGGTGATGCTTTCCTGCGGCAATAAGTTATAATAATAAGGGTACGTTCCTAATTCCGTTATTCAAAAAAAAAAAATTGGGGAGGCCAATGTTAGTATACGAAGGCGTTTGTGGAACAAAAATTGAAAAAAACAAAAACGATTAATAAAACTAAAACCTCTATTAAAAAATTGCGTATCCGAAGTCTGGATTCCGGTAAAAATAATATCGTCAACGATGAACAAACGAAAACGAAGTGTATGAAAGAAAAAAATCGGATTTATTAATAAAGCTGTCACAGAGTAACGTAAATGCTATTGAAAAAGGTACTTGTGGTCAGCGAATGTGTAGGGAATGGAGTAAAGAAAGGACAAAATGAGAGACGGAATTAACACCGCAAATACCGTTAAAAGTATTGTGCATTCCGATAAAACTTTATGAAAAAATTGTACAAGTCTATACAATTTGCTATTGACAATGAAGAAAAGGCCAAAGAAAAATTTGAAGCTCTAACAAATTTGAAAAAAATTTTTAGGAGCTTCTCCAGATGGGTTAATAAATTCTAATTCAATTGCAGAGATTAAATGTTCATATGCGGCTTGCAGTAAAAATATTAAAGAGCTATTAAAAATAAAATCATTAATTTATTGTTCAATAAATGCAGTTATTACAATTACCTAGTTTGAACCAGAACCACAACTATAGGTATGTATCAGGTATAACAGGGTCCAGTGCATATAGCTAAAAGATATATATATCCTTCTTATTAATGCTATTGTCAGGTACTTCAAAGGGTGGTCAAATAAGCTTAAGGTATTTAAAAGGTGCTCTATTGTGTGGGCCATAAATTACAGCTTACCGACTCAGCTAATATTTTGGGTTGCCTAACTTACCAAAATTTGCCCAAAATGCTTTGCAGTTTTTTTACAATAACTAAAAGAAGTAAAATTTTAACAGAAAACGAAGAATGGCGCCTAAAGTAGAAAAAAATTCTCTATCACCTCGATATTTTTTAAAAGCACACCGAGTTATAGTTTTCGCTAAAAATCCGCTGGGGTTTTACGCACTTTATTTTTTATTTTAAAAACTGCTACGTTTTTTAAAAAATACAAGTGCTTCCTTAAAGATTTTTATGTCATGAGCACGCACATGTATCGCCCTGCTCTTCAACTGTTAAAATAAAGGCGCAAAATGGGTTGGCGTTTTGCCTTATTTTGGCATCTTTTAATGACTGTGTGGCGGAGCTTTAAGGCCTCACCAGTTTCGCTAATAACAATTTTGCACGTGTTTCTACATTTGAAAGATTCCCAGGTAGCAGACTTAAGTCTTTTCATTGTAAGGAGCCTGCAGACAATTTTCTGGAATTTCTAATCTTTTGGCGACACTCATTTTGCTAATAACTTCATAACGTCACTTTTACTGCCTTAATGCCTCATGCTGAAGGAGAAACGATTTCTCGTCGAAATTGTCTATGGTATTTTATTTATAATATATTTTATAAACAAAATCTTTACCTCCTCTTAAATCTTTTCCCTAATTATAATTCGTAACCGTTTCAAAACAAAAATTTTATAAAGTCGATATTTGGGTTTGTTATTCATTATCATTGTTGTTGGAAGATATTTTCGTTTAAAGGTTTATTTGCTGTCTGCTGTTAAAAGACAAGGCTGTGTAGCAGGTAAAACGCCAACCAGAGTGCGTTTGCTCTTTTGCACTAAAAATATGATGACATCAGGGCACGAGATTTGCAAAGTAAATCTAGTTCGAAATGTATACAAATTAAATTTATAAAAGCAAGATAGTAACATTGATAATTGAAAAACAACAATTAGAATTTATTTATTCTTTCTGTCCACAGAGTTAACGACGTCGTTTCAGTGCTTATGAAACAAATAACATATTTTGTGTCAGGACACATAAATTTGTCCCCGTTAAAAAATCGAAAATCCATTTTCTCGTTAGACACATTGTTAAAACTCGTTTGACTCAGTTTTTAATTTTTCGCTGCAAAACTATTTTCTGTTTTCTAGAAATGTCCTCCCCACCACCACCTTGTGGGGGTACAAGTTCCACCACCATTTTCCACCCCACTCTTTCGGTTCGATAGCGGTAGGTCGTTAGGGTGTCGTTAGGTACACATCAGTCCTGTTCCTGCCTGTTCTTGTCGAGAGCTCAACCAGGACGGGAACTGTTCTGGTTGAGCTCTCAAAAAATTAACCATCAAATACCTGAGGTAAGACTAAACTGCATTAATATGTTTTGCAGGTGGCAAAGTAATCGCTTTCGGCGATAAAAATTTTTTTCCAATTAAAAACGTATTTCTAAAGTTTCGCAAATATCACTTGTTTGGCTTTCATTGGAGGTTCAAAAATAATGAATATTATAAATATTTGTAAGCTTTGTTGATTATTTTTATTTTTCACCCCAACAATACTATCATTTAGATTTTTATTTACTATTATTATGGTAGAATTCCTTTAATTTTGGCAAGATTTTGTAAAGTAGTATGTTTCTGTTTCTGTCTTAATCCGATACAGTTGCACGAGAAATTTTTTTAAAAACGTCTTTCTAAAGTTTGGCAACTATCACTTGTTTGGCTTACATTAGACGTTCAAAAATAATGAATATTGCAAATATTTGTAAGCTTTGTTTGAGATTTTTATTTGTCACTCCAACAATATTATCATTTAGTTTCTTATTTACTATTATTGTAGAACTCCTTCAATTTTTGCCAAATGTTGCAAAGCGGTATGTTTCTCTTTCTGTCTTAGTCCGATATAGTTTCGCGGGCATTCTTTGCCTGTTTAAATACAGTCTATCAGTGGAAGACAGAAACAGAGACATACCAAGAAGTTGCAAATGGTACAGTTTTACAACACCTTGCCAAACTTCAAAACCCCATGCGATAATTATAATTTTTCTGTTTAGAACTCGCTGCTACTCTGAGATTATCAGAGCTCCAAGTTAAAATCTGGTTTCAAAACAGACAACCGAAACGGCGGAAACAAGCAAAAACAAGTGCATTGGAGAGAAAATCCAAATGGACAGCTTTCACCAGCAGAACCTCTTACAGCAGCAGCAACGACAATCACAACCGGGTCAGGGAACAACATAAATAAAAAATAAATGAAAAATAATGAACATGCTAAAAATAATGAACATAATATGGACTTTTGGGGATGGGGTGAGATTAGAGAATAATAGCAGACTAATTTGTATGCTGTAATTCTAGAATCTCGAAAGTTGTTCTGTTAATCTAATCAATTCATATCATTACTTGGTCTTAGTACCCGTAATGATAGAAGTCTTGCCTGAATGCCGGTCATTTCCGGGTCAGTGGTGGGTCTTAATAAATGAACAAATAAAATAGATAACTTGAGTTTTATCTAATAATATACTTATTTCCCTTATTTTCCGTACCTATTTCATTCAGCCCAGTGCTCTTCCATCCTCGTTTAGCACTTCTTCCCAACTTTCCTTCGATTGTTTCAATCCTTCACATCTTTCCAGCATATGCTCTATTGTTTCCCCCCTCTCTCCAACAGATCCTACACTTTCTGTCAGTTTCATCCATCCAAAAATTTTTTTCTTTCTCTTTATTTCAACACCTAAATCTCGCCATCATCCTTTTCTCCTTTACACTCTCTCTCTCTCTCTCTGTGTGTGTGTCCTTTGGTACGTCCTCCTTTGCTATTTTTCTATACTCTGCATCATATCTGGACTCCGATATTCTCGACCTGCGTTCTTGTTTAGGGGTCTACCACACCTCAAGAAAATTTTTATTTTAAAAGATATGCAACTTGTAAAACACCCATGCTACCTCGTTATGACAGCTGCCACTCATCTCTAAGGGTTAAAATCGTTCACTTCGTTTACAATACTTAACTAGTTTTATTACTGCTATTGTCAGCGGGGGAAGTGTATCCCAGCTTGCAGGTAGAGCAGAGTAAGGAACTAAAATATTTATCTACTATGAAAGAAAATAAACAATATTTCTTAGCTTACGTTCGAGAAGTAAAAACGCAAAAACACGTCTACTGGTATATAAAAATTGCCATTTTGTAATATTAGTTTTAAAAGTTTTGAGCGATATTTGACAGGTGTATGACGTCATCGAAAATTTTTTAAATAGCACTTCCTACCTTTTTTTAGCATAAAGTCCCTTGAAAGAGAATTTTTGATATGCGGTTTAACCTAATTTACTGTCATAAGAAAAGAAAAAAGCCAAATGTGTGTTTTAAAATAAATTAATAAAATCATTGTCAGAGACTGTTGAGATCTTTACTCGCAATACACACAACAAAAAAATGCTTGTTCATATATATAATTCCGACCATAATTCTTCCTCTTATTTTTAAATTCCTGTTTCCATAAAAATTCGTACGTGTTGGGCATATTCTGGAAGTAGGTAGAAAAGTAAAATTAAATTTCCAAGAATATTTTATTGTAGGTACGAAGGTACGTTATTGTGAGTATTTTTTACTAATCTTGGAATTTTTCAACCCGAAATCTTAGAAATTTAGGTAGGTATAGTGAACCAAGAGTTATAAGGTTATATGGCCATCATAAAAGTAGTTGATCGCAAATAAATACCCCTTTTGTGTGGTTCGCACTAAGCTTACCGGTTGGCAATAAATCATCTTCTAAACAATTCTTGCTCATATTTAACAGGGCCGGCTTTCAAAGCGAGTGGTTATTTCGGAACCCTCAGCGGCTGCAGGTAGTAAAGAAATAGTGGAGTGGTGGATTTTCATATCTAGTGAAAGCCGCCCCTGAACGAAACCACAAGAGCCGGTCGAGCTGCAGTGGACACGTTATTTACGACCCTAAAACCTTTTCTATTGTAAACAAATTAACTTCGACACAATGGGATGATTTTATGATGGCCATATAACCTTATAGCTCTTGGTTCACTATACATACCTAGTTATAGTGAACCAAGAGCTATAAGGTTATATGGCCATCATAAAATCATCCCATTGTGTCGAAGTTAAGTTGTTTACAATAGAAAAGGTTTTAGGGTCGTAAATAACGTGTCCACTGCAGCTCGACCGGCTCTTGTGGTTTCGTTCAGGGACGGCTTCAACTAAATATGAAAATCCCCCACTCCACTATTTCTTTACTACCTGCAGCCGCTGCGTTATATCTTGTACGCCGTATTGAGCAAGGTGATCCCTCGGTTGTTCTTCACACCACTTTTTTGCTCCTTTTTAAATAATGGTAACCGAGAGTAGTGATGATGGTAATTTGCATAATGTTGTATAAAACGATTTATTGATTATGCCACTTTCTTAAACCGTCCCATTAATGAATGTGTTTAGATAATTTGAACCTTCATCTCATTTTCAGTCTCAAAGAGTACGAGAAAAACGGGAAGTCACATTATAAAGTCGTCGACAACAAGCTCATCTTGATGCAACAGTTGATTAAATTCCAGATGGATAATTTGTTTGATGAGGACAAAGTTCTCGGGGATAATATTAATCAAGTTTTGAACAACAATTGGTCGAGAATGTTTGCCAATGTTAAGCCAAATTCTGAAGAGGCTTTTAGAAAGATTTTTGCCGCGATTTTTGATAATGTGTTGTGAATGTGAATTATCAGTCAAGTTGCTTAATAAAGATGTGATAAAACTGGTTCTTTGAAGTTGTTTTTGTTGTTTCAAATTAAACTTTATTTTAACTATTTGTTTCAATTTTTTTTTTTTTAATAATTGTTATGACGCGATATCAATTTGTTTAGTATGGCGTTGTCACAAATTTGCAACTAAAAGCTACATTCTTTGTTGACAATGGTAGCAAAAAACTCAAAGTCATAAAACTGCTATTTTCTTGATACACTATCTTAGGTTTTTCTTATAGCTCAGTTATTTTATTAATATTTTTCTTGTATACGCTCTATACACAATCTTATTTCAAGAAAACCCTGAACTCTAGTTTTACCTTCCAGTTTAGGAGCATTAAAAAAATCGATTCAAACATGCAAAAACGGATAATTGTTAATCAAGAATCTCAAACAAATATCATTCAGTATAGTTGCGGAAAATTTTTATTATTCTGCACTCAACGACTCTTAATAGGACTGGTTTTTGAAGGCAGATTGTTTTTAGTTTTTTCGTTGGGCAAGGCCCAATTTTATATCATTTCTAAAAATAAAAAGAAAACATTGTTCATAATATATACTGTATATATACGTAGATACATTTTCTTGCATCAAGGCTGTTTAGTACTGTGATGAAATTTGGACAGTGGAAAGGGAAATAAACGTTACTGTGGGTAATTGAAGCTGAGAAGATTTTGAAATAATTTTGGTTCTGTAATAAGTCTTCGTTACTATAAGTTTAATGCTGTGGTGTCCTAAATTTGAAATTTAAATTTCGCGCTGAAAAATCAGGCAATCACCCATGCTGGATGATTGGAAATTTTTGGAATACAGCGAATATAGAATTCTACAAGGTCACCCAGTTCCTGTTTTGGGCACGTTACATACATTACATATAATTCAGTCTCCAATTTCATAAGTCGGCAATTATTTAACTAAAATGAATCTCATTCAAAGCAACGGTCTTCGTTCACCGAGCTTAAATAGTGCAATATCATTTTATCAATAATTTTCTAATTTGAGAATTGTAAAACTTAACGTGTAATTGAAAGGACCTTGAACATTTTCACCAATCACTTGCTTGCTCCATTTCTCCTACTTCTACTAATCAATCAGTTGTCATAAATTCAAGAAAGATAAAACTTGAACTTTTACTGCCATTAAGGGATAAGATGGAGTAGCGAAAGTGGAACACACGGTTTCTAATGAAACCTGAATTTCCTCCTCACTCCTACTTTTGTATATCAAAATCTCTGCTCCAAAGCTCCCATTGGTGATCTTTAACACTTTAACTATATTTTCCTCTTTAGTCTATTCTTTCTCCTTATAAATTTTATAATCTTTGTCAATATTCTCAGTTTCCTTCATATGCCTCAGACTATATATAATCTTCATTATTATACATTCTTATTCCCTTTCGTTTTTGCTTTCCTTCTCACTTTGTTTATAAAAAATAAATCCCAAGAGGTGCAGGCCTCACAAGTACGGACAATATGAATTATAAGTGAAACCAATGAGAAAATATGTTGTCTCAGTATACACACGCATCTGGCATTTTTTGTTTCAATATATGATATGAATTTTGGAAAATATTAATTTGAAAAAGAGGGAAGTAGGTAGGTTAAGGCAAAATACATACATAACTAGTCAAATATTTGAGTGCAGGACGTAATGTTCGCATTTGAAGGAAAATCAAAATTCTATACATATACCAACTTTTATTATTAAATGCATTAAATTTATTAAGAGCACTGATACCATGTACCCGCGTGTATAAGGTTAACGGTGTTAAATTTATTTTTTGTTATTAATAATGTTATTATTGTTACTATTACATGCATGTGTACATACACACAATTATTATTATTACATATTATGTTGCTTATGTTTTCGATTCTTTATGTAGTAGTAGTGTGCAGTATTGATTTCTTTCATCGATTATCCTTGAGTGTCCGTTTCGTAATTAGGTAACAAAAATGGAATAAATTTTAAAAAAAGGCTATTAAAATAATATTCCCACAGGCACAAAAAAATATTTTTGCTGTAAAACTGTTACTAGTAACCAGAAACTTCAAAGACACAGACTCAAGGTAATAACATTTATTTGGTCAGAATCCGAAACGCTCGGATGGCTAGCAAGCAGGCAATGTTGTAAATTTTTCCAATTATTATTATGACAGCTAGGGTTGGACGGTCAATATTACTGACAGCTGTTCCGAGCCCAAGAATTTTACCCTTGCTTTTAAACTGCTTTTAAGATGGAGCTGAAGTACAATATTTTGTCGGTGCGAATTATTAGCACCGCACCCAAGGATTTTAAATAAGTCTACTTATTTAAAATCCTTGCACCGCACCGAAAACCTCTACTTGGATGAGCGACTGTACTACTCTCTTATCTGAATAAATTACCTGAGGACCGTCGTCCGTCCTCAGGTTGTTGTGTTGTGTTTCTATTGTGCAGGTAAATTTTACAATTATCTAAATACTCTTCACGATTTTTTTTTTTGTATTAAGAAAGGCAACATATTGATCGATATAAACCAGTAGAATAGCAGACAATTAAACTACCATTTCAGAGGTAACAGATTTATTATATTAAATACATATTTTCAAAACGAGCAAATAATCTATACATAAATAGTTTGTAATAAAGTTGTTTTTTAATTTTTAGTGACTTTTTTTCTCTGTGTGCTTTTAAAATATAATCAGGATTTCTAACAGATAATCTCCTACGTCTCCTAGGAACAACAAGTTCCGGAACAACAAGTTCCGG